TCTGTCTGTGATTGTTTTCTGTCTCTTTGTGTCTGTCTGTGATTGTTTTCTGTCTCTGTCTGTGATGTTTTCTGTCTCTTTGTGGTTGTCTTGTGTCTCTGCAGTCTCTCGTGTGTCTCTGTAGTAAATTGTTTTGTCTTTGTGGTTCTTTAATGTCTCTTGATCATTTTGTGTTTCTGTGTTGTCTCTTTGTGTCTTTGTGGCCAGTTTGAGTCTGTTTGTAGTTTTTTTCAGTTCGATTTTCCATCAAAATTAATTCACTTTAATTAGATGACTTGAAAATAATCACTTTCATTTATTTGCTTCAGTAAACTCATCGATCATTAAAGAAAAACACAGCGGTGAACATGACAGAAGAAAGTTTTTTATGCAACATGAAACATGAAATCTGTTTAGTTTGACTTTAACATTAATTTATTATAGGACGACACAAAGACATGGACGATGGAGATTCAGAAACCTGGTGATTTTCTGTATATTAAGAAATAAACAATGAACATGATGTCTTGTCACTTGAATCCAGCTGATTGTTTCCTGTGCAATAAAGTAAAAATAATGTATGAGGAAGTTACCAAGTGTAAAATGGGCTCAACCCAATAAAAAGCTTCATTTGAACATATATAAATACTAATTTTTGTTTCTTTTATAAATAAAACCATGAGAAGTTCGTGCTTCTTCGTTTTAAACGTTCTTTGTGTTGATTCATATTGTTCGATGTTGTGATTAGTTCATAAACTCGCCTCCATCTTTTGCGTCCCTGTTGCAGAGCGACGTGTTCACCATGAGTTTTGTTGAGTACTCGGACTTCATTCAGGATGGGGACGTCGCCATCGTCTACCTGGGCCACGACTCCCTGATGGCCGTCAAGGTGCAGCAGGGCGCCCAAACGCAAACCCGCTACGGAGCCATTCGCCATTCCACAGACCTGATCGGCCAGCGTTATGGGTCGAAGGTCACCTGCAGCAAAGGCGGGTGGGTGCAGGTGCTTCACCCGACGCCCGAGCTGTGGACGGTCTCCCTGCCGCACCGCACACAAATCCTCTACACCACAGACATCGCCACCATCACCATGATGCTGGAGCTGAAGCCGGGATCCATCGTCTGCGAGTCAGGTGAGCGTGGATTCAGATTCATGTCACTGTAGATTTCACACAACGAGGAAAGAACGCACAAATTAAATGAAAATGAAAATATCACATTTTGGTGCAGTGTTTTTATGGAACATAGGAAGAGAAGCTGGACGTCAACCACCACAGAAGTAACGCATTCAGATATGAGAAGAAAAATCATTTTACCGGAATAATCATGGGGTAGATGCTGCTAAGAACGTTTGGATTAATATTTGATGAGCTTCTGTTAGCAGCCTGGAAGGTGAACCAAGAACCACCAGTGATGCTGCTATTCCTTCAGAACAGTGGGATCACATCTCTCATCAACGACAACGTCCGACACAAACAAAAACATTTTGCATCCATCACATTAAATGGCTACTGCGATAAACACGCGGCTCCAGAATGGAAACCAAACACTCCACGATGAAGCCGTGATGTGACTCATAAATGTTCAATGACTGATTAAATGTTAATGTTAGAAGCCAAGTGAAAGCAGCGGCTCTCCTCTCAGTGTCGACGCAGGATGTGTTCAGGCGCAGTTTAGCTGTTGTGGTCTCAGATCTGTCAAGACAGAGGAATGAAGAATACTTCTGGTGTGGCTTTTCTGAAGAGTGACTGAATCGTGAACCGTTACACAGCCTGCGTTGCTCACAGTGGAACCACATCTGTTGGTTTGACACGTATGAAATTGACGACTGAAGCTGAACGTATCCTGTGTTCATTCTCAGAATCAGTCATGTTCCATTGTTACGTGATTAAAGAAGCGTCCGTGAAGCTTTGCCTTGAAGTCGTTTTGATTTGTTTCACGACCCGACAGCAGCATTTCATTTTTATGATGTTTGCGTTTTGAGGTGGGGCACGAGGCGTTCTGTTCCACTGCAGCCTGTATTTTATTATCTAGGAAAGCTTGAGTGTTTGAATTGAATTAAATGAGACTGTTGGGCCTCAACGGAGGCATGAGCTCTACTGACCTCCGCCCCAGCTCTCCAGTCATTTCCTTCGATCTGTGCTTTGCCTTCAGCTCCGTCTTCCATCTCCATTTGTTAAATTGCAATCTCTTGGAGTGTGTTGATTTTTCTAGTTTCTCCCAGTCAAAGCGAAGCGAGGGTGGGGGGATGGGAGAGGATGTTTGTGTGTGTGTGTGTGTGTGTGTGGTGCAGTGCTACATCATATTTTACTGCTGGCAGCTCTGCACACGTCACGTCATTGATTGTACTTGGTGAACCTTGTGTGTGTGTGTGTGTGAGAGAGAGTTGAGATTGCAAAGGTCTCAGGGGTGATGGATG